TCAAAGATTTACAGGCAATTAAAAAAGGTTTCCTTCAGGTATGCTCAGAAATTCAGATCCTCTTACCTTTGTTTATATAATGATCCTTTTCTTCAAGGCCTGTATTCAAACTTTTCATTAGTTAATTGCTGGTGAGCGGTTTTAATTGTGCTTAACATTTACACCAAAATTTGGTTTTGCCTGTAGAACTGCTAGTAAGGACATAAGTCGGTTAGGATGTCAGCATAGCTTCTGGCAAACGTGAACATTGCATGCGTTTTGCATCAGTTTTAAGAAAACCTTCTTTGGCAAACCTCGGCACACTCAGATTCCCACTTTTTGTTCTCTTTTACGATTATCCATATTGATTGAAAGAACATGTAGTGATATATTAAAGATTTAATCAGACGCAAGAAAATGACTTGGAGTCGGTGGGAGCCCTTTTTTGAGCTGCAGTCTTTACCGAAATGGCAGACTTTTTACCCACACGGTGCACCTACGCGTACTTCTTACTAAAAGATGCATTTGTATCTTTTTTTAAAAGAATTTAGTATGTGCAACAAAAATGGAGGATCCGAGTCTACCAAAGAGTTTTGGAAGAGTGCTATGGCAAAGGGATTTCTGAGCTTGAGACTAAACTTTCTGTGTGCTTTTCACAGGCTTTGGGTGGAAGGAAATCCTCCCGAAACTTGTCCTTTTAGTTAATCCCCCGTCCCCTCAAATCGATACACCAATGCTACAGTTGTTTCTACACCAAAATTTTCGAGCTCTCTGTTTTGTTGGTCTGTGAACTTAAATTTTTTTAATGTTTTTGCTGTCTTAAATTTTTTGTTTCAAATACATGCATGCATTAAATATTACTTTATTGATTTTTTTGAAATTTTTTTGGTTTTAAACAATGAACACTTGCCGATGCTTTTGTTGGTGTTTCAAGTGGAATTTTTAAGAAAGCATTGTGTTGCTTAGCCATAATTCACCAGGTATCAATCGGTGGTGCCACTGTTTAGGCTTTTCAATGTCTTGAGGGAAATTCTTACAGACTTTTGCCAAGTGACGTATCCAGGTAATAGGTCTGGGGGTATAAAAAATGAATTGATTATTCTCACCAGTAAAAGAATCTTCACCAACAAGTAAAGATGACTGTAACCTTTTTGCTTTGCCCGCGCTTTCAATTCTTAAGAAATGGAAACATGTCAAGGAATAAACTCGCTTCCCCAGATTGTATTTAACAATATTTCACTTGAATTGCCAACATATCAAGTGGGACTATAAGCAAGGCAGTAATTGCTGCTCACAGGATCAAGGATTCTTCCAAACGCATGGAGCATTTTCACTTTTTTTCATGATGATCTTGGAGTCATGTAGAACATCGTAACTACTGAAAGAAACTTTTCCCGTTGCTTCCTGTGAACCTTAGGACTAGTCTGGCTCCAAGTCTCCATTTCTAGCAATCCCATGTTGCGTCAGGTAACCAGCACGGTTGAATAGAGGCCTAACGTAAGACATGCTGTCGACTGGAGGTGCCCGTCTATCTTTTGATGCCGCCACGCGTGTCGGTGGAGTTTGGCGACTCAACATCGCCATTAGTGTAAAGGGGCAATATGTAATCCAAAACTCGATATGGAAAATTGCATTTGGGTACGAAAAGCGACACACATAATTTTATGGTTGTCACCCCTTGTTCAGGCGCCATGCGACGAGAGAAAGGATAGGCCCTTTTGAGGTATGGCGGAGAAAATGGGAGGGCGCTATTTGGCTTGGGTAAAATCTTTGTGCTTACTCCAAGATCGAGTTCGGGCGGCCTTTTCTTGACACGGGTTTCTTGCTCTCGCACTCGAACGGCGGGAACACGACTCAAGAACACTGTTCTCAGAACAGGATCACTCACCACCTCCTCGTCAGGGTTTTACAGGAACACGCGGAAAAACTCGTGAGATTTTGATTTTTGAACAGCTGCAAAAAATAGAGAGATGGCTTCCAAAGCCATAGACAATGGGAAGTTTTGCAAAATTAACATTAATTATTTTCTGTAACACAGAAATGAATGTTCCTGTTTATATAGAAAAGAATTCAGCCCATCCAAACATTAACTCTCGAATAACGTGGCCTGCATTGACGCCGCCATGTTGCATGCTTGTCACTATACCAGCGATAACCAGTTGCTTGTTCCCGGCGTTCGAGCGGCCGACCACGAACAACAAATCGAGCTGTTCGTGAACACACAGGAACAAGCCGCCCGAACTCGGCCCAAATTTACGCTCTTGAAATAGCGCCCTCTTAATGTGTTCATAATGCCTCGTAAAGGCCAACAGCAGTTGCTGGTGCTGGAGGGCCGAGACCATCTAACAATGAGCCATTTATTAACACCAGGGCGGATGGAAAACATGCAGGGCATGCGCTTCGTCGTCTGGACGCCATCCCTCACATTGCTGTGTTGCCACATGGAGAAATGTCGATATACCAGTCTGCAAACTAACAACAGCTGAAAAACCTCATCCAAGTCCCCGAGTTTAACCTCTATAAATGGTACGGTCTTAGACAGGTTCTTTATCCAAGAAGGGTTAAGGAAATTCCTACTGCTGAGCATAGGGCTAGTAAATATTGGAGAGTCCGCACATCTTCCATAGTTGTGAAATGGCGACAATCAGGTCGGCCGCCTTCTGACGTTTTCAGGAGACATCCCGTATTTTAACAAAGCCTACTTATACATGTGTAATCATACTAAACCCTGTGAAGATTAACATTAGGAGCAAGAGAGGCGCTTTGCTCTCTATTTTAGTGGACAAATGCAGATTATTGCATGGTACCCTTAACTCCCTTGAGGATTTTGTACGGCTTCATGCCAGCATAGGCGACCAGTCGCCACCAGCGATATCGTTAGCGTCTACTCTTTCATTAATCACCATGACAACCAACCGCTGTTTCAAGGCCAGTTCGCGACCCTAACATGCGTCTGCTGAGAACCACGTTTTTATCTTGTAGTAATCAGATGAATTTCTTACCACCAGGAAAGGTTACAAGTATTTGTCAGTAAAAGACTCCTACAGATATTACAAAATGACAGTTTCAAAATCCTTTTGCCCTTTGATTGTTGTTCCTCACCAATTAATGACGTCGGCTTGACTGTGAGCACGCCACTGAAGCTGACCGTGGGCGTCTTTCAAATTAGCGCACTATGGAAATTAGCTCCCGTAAATAGATTCTAAAGTTAACTGCTCGTCTTGATGGGTTTGATTGGAAAGTTGACAAATAATAAAGCCATCAAGGAAAGTTGAACAAATTCTATAGACAGCAATACACAACACCTAAGGAGTACATAATCGTTAAATTCTACCCGCATTATTTCCGTCATCTCTACTTCAGAGTGATAGGACCAATTTGTTACGCGCACACTACACATAATGTAATGTACTAGGCCCAATGCACTTGTCTGTATAAACTTCACACTTTTTATCTACCTACAGTCTGGTATAGCTTGTAGGCTTGCCTGCTCCCCGACTCCATCAACCAAAATAAATTAGGTTAAGGCCCCATTGCCTAAATGGTCAGTTATTAAAGAAGAAACAAACGGCAGCAGAATTACTCCACCGAGCTGTAAAGCAGTGCAAAGACGCTGGCGGCAGCAGACGCGCCGGCCCTATTTCATAGAAACACGCATGCTCAGTGCTATACACGCAAAGCATGGTCAGAAAAACGGGCGCGTGTTCAGGGGTCGTTCATGAAGTACGTGCACACGAGGGGGGAGGGGTGGTGCGTTACATACACCATGCCTATGGGGAAGGAGGCTCAAGCGAGTGCGTACCACACGCAATCAATGTGTTTAATCTTCAGCATATCAATACACTTTGTCATACAAATAAATACCAGAAACAGCTGTTGTGCGTCGAAAAACTACTCAACCACAGTATCCTCCAACGTCCACCCCACCATTTGTCCTCGTGTGCCAACGCCCATTATTAGTCAACCACCAAATTACTCAAGACACAAAGACCGGCAGCGTCTTCCGGAACTGTACAGGCACCCTCATACGTGCATAAGAGGGGGGAAAAAGCACCGGATTATTATTATTATTATTTTGGGGGGAGGGGGCCTTTTATTCACCAACACCTTTTTATAAGCTGCCAAATAAATATTTTCCAGGGCCGTTAGTGAAGAAACACCGATATAAAAATTTGTAGGCTTTGGTCATTTATTGACGAAATTGGAAGGCACGTGCAAATACACGTAACAGTACTACAGTAGATGCACAATGCACTGTGATATTTAATGGTGCTACAGCAAGGTATCCTGAGAAGTCAAGAGAGGAATGGAATGCGTTTGCGTACGGGGGTAGGGGG